CCTTGCTCAGACTGGGGACCCCAGGACAGGACCCCCAGCCTGGCTGCCAGGAATGGGGTTCCTTGCCCAGACTGCCTGCCTGCCATCAAGTGCCCTTTAATGGGCCTGTAAAGACCTAATGATGACCCTTAATCTGGGCCCTGATGGCTGGGCTCCGCAGCTATTACCATGTGAAAGGCTCCTTTCTGGTCTCTTTGAGCTCTTTGTACCCAGGGCTGTTAGGACCTGCCCTTCCCCAGGGTCCTCTGCCAGCCAGGAAAGTCCCCCCTGGCTTTGAGGGGTCACAGGTCCCCCGGTCCAGGCGCTGGGGAGGCACCAGGACGAGCTCCCATGTACCAGTGCCCAAGAACCCGAGGTGACCGTGTCCCTGGCACTGCAGGGACAGCAGGTTGGGTCTGCCAAGGGCTGCTCCAGCTCTCCGCTCCCCGGGCCATGGGGCAGCGCTCCCTAGGCAATGGCCGCGTGCCAGGGCACCCATGCCAGGGCTCCTGCCCACTGAAGAGCTGCACTGAGACTTGGCCAGGGCAGGGAGCATCTCAGGGCTCGATGAAGGATGTGTTTAAAAGGTTCCTTGCAAGGAACTGCACATCCCCAGCATGTGTTGGATTCCACCCCGCGCGCACAGGGTCCCCCCATGGCCACCCTGCGCCCGCCATACCGGAGCCAGCCCGGGGCACTCGTACACCGTGAAGTCTCCATCTTCATTCTCCTCGTCAGATGAGGCCGAGTCTGGCAGCTTGGGCTCCTCTTTATGCCTGGGGGGAGAGGATGCAGAGAGGGGATGAAGCCCAGGGGGATGAATAATGGCACACCAGTTAATGGCAGGGCATGGACCAGCAACTGGGTCTGCTGCCTGCTCCCAGGGCTGCTTACTTCTCCATGGAGAGCATCTGCTGCTTTTGGTGCTGATAGTGGTACATCTGGGCACTCTGAGCCAGCGTCTTGTCCCCAGGCTGCAGAGAGAGCAGGGACAGGCATGGAAGCTGGGCTCTGGAGACCCCCCAGCCTGGCTGGTGGGGGTCCTCTGCTGTGTTGGAAGCCCCTCAAGCAGGGCACACACCTGGCCCCTGTGCCAAACACCCCATAAGGAGGGACATGGGCACCTTACCGAGATCTTGTCGTAGGGCAAGGGGCTGGCCACTCGCTGTGCCGAGTAGTCTGCTTTCTGTGCCAGCCTGACCTCCTTCTGCAGCCTGCCAGAGGAGAGGAGAGGGGTCAGCAGGAGCCACCAGAGCGGACGACTCCATATGGGAGCCAGTGACCCCCTGGGGGGGCTCAGTCCTCCCACCCACACCCCTGTTCCCTGCAATGGCACCCATGATGTGTGGCATCCTGAGGCGAGGTGGCCCTGTATGTGCGCAGGGACCTCATCACAGCCACCTCCATTCCACTGGGCCCAGGCACAAGGCACCAATGCACCGGGGATGTCAGCACCCAGCGCTGCAACAATGCCCAAATCAGGTGTCACCCACCCCGAGGAGTCATGGCTTATGCCTGGCACAGGGGTGTCCCACCACTGTCCTCCAGCTCTGACCAGCAGATGCCATACCCTGGTGGCCAGGGCATGTCTGCAGGGGGACTGGCAAGGGCAGCTATTGCCTCTCCTCCAAACCCCACCATGTGCCTGGGAAGCACAGGAACAAGCTCCCCTGGGCACAAGGACACTGAGGGACTGACTGGCACCAGCAGCCCCTGGCTCACCTGCACCAGCAGACTGCAGCCACGATCAATGCTGAGATCCCGGCCACCGTGCACACCACAATCAGCCCTACAGATGTGGAAGGGGACACAGAGGGACAGTGGGTGAGCCCGGTGCCACCAGCCCATGCTTCCGTGGCATGGACGTGAAACCCCCTCCCACAAGCCGCCTGTCCCCAGGGCCTCACCAAGCACCATGTCGTCATTTGAAGGGATGGGAGATGCCTCCACTGGGTACTTCGGGACTGCAGCGCTGGTGGAGGTGGGGAGGGTGGCTGCTGCCTTGCTGCCGGAGGGACCCTGCTGCAGAAGCCCCACTCTCAGCCCGCTGGCCACACGCTGTCTGCCATCGGTGGGGACTGGGGTGGCTGCAGAAGAAGGCAGAGCCGTGAGCAGAGCAGCTCCCAAACAGCTCTGGAGGGCAAACCAGCCTGGGGTGCAGGGTCTGGCTGCCACCGGGTCCCTGGCACTGCTGCAGAGAGCAGTGGAGTAGGGGAGCAGGCACTTACTCCTAGGCTTGCCATCCCGCAGCGAGTGGGGGCGAGGAGCCTCATGCCTGGCCAGCACGTCTGCCAGAAAATCAATTTCTTCCTCCAAGCTGGGAACAGACGTCCGCCCTGTGCCGGGAGAGAGCTGGCATCAGACAGGCACCCTGGGATGCAGCTGTGCGCCCAGCCCTGGGGACGAACTCAGCACACGGGGCTCACATCCCAGCACAAGCAAATGCAGGTGGTTTGGAGTCCAACCCCACCCGGATGCAGCACTCCGGCACACTGGTGGTCCCAAAGCCAAGACCTGGGACCTGCCAATGTCCTCGCTGCTTTTGGGATGGTTTTCACCCCACAAATGTTGGAGGCTGCAGGAGCAACAGCAGCCGCAGTTGCCACTGTGCCAGAGACAGTGGGTCCTGCAGAGACCCGTTGGAGCCGACAGGCTGCCAGCACCCACTGCTCAGGAGCTGCCCTGTGTCCCTGCACCTGGGGCCATACAGTGGGGGCAAGTAGGGACATGAGCTGGACCAGAGAGACACCCCACAGCTGCCCTGCTGCTGCGAGGTGCAAGGGCAGTGCTGGCAGGGTGAATCGCAGACCCGCTGTGGGCAGTTGGGGCCATTTCAAGAGCTGGCAGGGGAAACCTGAATGCTGGTTGTCACCCGAAATTGTCCTGTATGGCCCAGGGGGCTGGAGCCACCCCAGAGCAGGGCTTGTCCAGGGCTGTCCAGGAGCTGGTGGGTACCGTCGCTCCAGCTGAGGGGCCGGTTTCTGCCCAGCACCCGGCAGGATGCGGCCGCTTTGGGGAGGGAGTTGGGGTGCCCCATGCAGCGAGGACCACGAGGTACTCCCAGGGGCTGGCTGGGCATTTCACAGGGGGCTGCCCCAGCCGAGGCCCAAGCACAGTGCATGCTGCCAAAGTGCCAGGTGCCCCTGCGGTGTGGGGCATGGGCAGGACCCCCACCCTGGCCTGGGGGTTCCCACCCATGGGGTGACAGCACAGAGCAGGAGGGGACCCACTGTCCCCAGGCTCACCGAGCAGAGTCAAGCTCTGCTGCTCACTGCTCTGCTTTTAATAGGATTAAACTCAACTTCAAAGGCAGGAGATGTCCTGTCCCCATCCCTGCTCCCTCTGCCCCAGTGCTGCTGTATTCAGGCTGTCCCCAGCAGGAAGCCCTGCAGGGTAAATCAAGACATACAAAGGCGAGGTGGTACTGGCAGCTTGGTTCCCAGATAATTCAAGGTTATAACAATTACAGCTCCTCTGGAATCTGTCCTCGCTCCCAATGTTTGGAAATAAACCCCGGTCCCCTCTGGAGCCAGGCACAAAGGCCACTTGGCCAACCTGTGACTCAAAGCCACACAAACCAAAAAACTACTTAAAAAGGGGACACTCTTGCTTTAAACAAGTGCATGAAGAGCCACCATCCCCGGCCCCCCGTCTCTCCAGACACCCCCAGCCTCCTGTCCTCAGCAGCAGCCGGAGTGCCGCATGCCCCCGTGTGCCCCAGGTTTCCCCGGCTTTTTGCACCCCATTATTTTCAAAGCAGTGCCATGGCCATGTGGTGCCAGCTTTGGGGCTGTGCTACCGGTGCCATGCCCAATGGGTGAGTGCCATGGTGCCAAGGTGCCATCACAGGGCCAGGCTCTCCTGATGGGCAGGGGAGCTGGCATGGGCCTGAGCATAACAGCCCTGTGGCCCATGGGGACAGCCCTGTGTACAGTACGGGGACATCCTGGTGCCCAGGATGGGGACAGCCTGGGTCTACCTCCCCACTGCACTCAGGGGAAGGCTTGACCTCATTCTCACAGGACCCAGGGGACAGCCATGCCCATGCCCATGCGCGTCATGCCCATGTGCGTCACCATCGGGTCTGGGGGAACTGGGCTGTGTTGGTGCCACCAGTAAGGGGGTGCACAGTCCAGTGCTGCCCAGATACCCCTTGGCCTTGGGCAGATGTGGCTGCAACAGCCAACGCTTCAGGAAGATGAATGTGAAATGGCTGGAAAAGGAAAAAAAAGCTGGAAAACCATCCAGGAGCAGCTGCCAGGTCACTCTGAGCCTCCCACTGTGTGAAGCGGCACAAGGAAAACCAAAGCAGCTGTGCTGTTTGGTGGTTTTTGGCATTGCCAGCAGTGCCTGGGCCTAGCCACTCACCTGCATTAAACAGCTTTGTCACCAACTTCCCCGTCAGTGGCTAAAAACCCCCGTGCCCCTGCTTTCTTTGGCAGCTGAGATGTCCCCCAGTGACACGACATCTGCCTTCCCGCATCATTTGTGGGGCAGAAACAGCCTGGCACTGGTGGCCGGCTCCTGCCAGTCATGGCAGGCGGGTGAAACACCGTGGCGAAATGCCGGGCTGGAGCTGCTCCCCAGGGAACAGAGGGCTGGGGCTGCCCCCCAGTTCCTGCCTGGCTGCCCCAGGCTCACAGAGGCCCCCCCTCACCCTGCTGCAGCGAGGTGGGCATGCAGGGCATGCACAGGGGTCACGCAGGGCTTGCCCAGGGCTTGTCCAGGGCACGGGTGCCCTCTCATGGTAGGTCCCACCACCTGCCTGCAGCAGGGAGGGCATGGCCAGGCTGGCACACAGCATCCCAGCTGCTCCCCACGACCCTCGACCTCTCCTTGTGCCTTTCCCCTCCCCAGGATCTCCAGGGCTCAACCCTGGGATGCACACAAGGGTCTTGCCAGTCACTGAAATGTGTTTGGGGACAGCATCGAGCAAGAAGGGACATGGTGGCTTCTGCCTGGGTGGAGAAAACCTGATGTTGACAGTCTCCACGGGGGGGCACAAAATTCCTACAAATCCACTTCTTGCTATAGTCCTGCCCCAGGATGGCTGATGCCCTCCTGGCTGATGGCAGCACAGCAGGCAGGGAGGGGGGAACCCCCAGGTCCACAAGCCGGGACCCCCTTTTCCCCACTCTTCCCAAAGTGCTTACCACAGCCCAATGGGGCTCAGCCCTGGCTCTGTGAAGGCAGAAGCCGGGACGAGACCCAGCAGCCCAAACCACATCATGTGAACCCATCGTGGCACACCCAAACGGCACGCAGCAGCGTGGTGCTGGCAGCGTTTCAGGTGCTCAGACCCCTGCACAGGCAGTGCCAGTAAGGTGCAGGCAGCCGGCTGCCCGCCCATCCGAAGCGGCTGTAGGATGCACTGCATCATGAGGTCCCGCGCATCCCATCTCACCTCCATGCTGGTGCTGCGTCGGGTATGCTGAGACACCCATGCATGCCGTCATCAATGACAGGAACATGCTGCTCACGTGCATCGCCCTCCTAAGACCCCAAAATGCTGCTTTTCACCCCAAAAAGCTGCTCTCGGCACCTGCTTGCATGGGGATGCTGAGGAAGAGGAGCCCTGACTGCTGCCCACACTTCTGCCAGGAGCTGCAACCAATCATGGGGATGGCGCGGCGGCAAGCACGGCGGCAGCTGGGATCCCAGGATCAGCGTCACCAGCAGTTGCAAGCGGCTCAGGGAATCCCCCCCAAAATGAAGCTATCACAGCCCTTCTGCGTCCTTGCAGGCTCCCCCAGTTGCACCGGGCAGCTGGGTGCTGCTGCCAGCCTGAGAAAGTACAGGCAGGATACAAAAGCACCTGTGGAAAAAATTGGTATCTCCCTGCCAAAAGGAGCTGGGCATCCTCAGGATGCTACTGCTCCCTGGCATGCTAAAATAGAGGATTTGGGAGGGGAGCCCACTATTTTTTTTTTTTTTTTCCCTGTACCCACACTTTTGCTGCCAGAAGGTGGTAGCATTGCTTGAGAGAACAGGACGGGGCTGGGAAAGACCCTGAGATAGCCTCCATCCTTCCGGCATTGCGGTCCCGCATCTCCCTGACAAAGCCGAGAGAGGATGCTACCACGATCCCAGAGAAGCTGGGAGAGGATGCCACTGCAGTCCCACATCCCTCTGCCAAACTGGGCAAAGATGCTACTGTGGCCGCCTCTCCCTGCCGAAGCCGTCACTGAGCGGAGTTGCTATGGAGATGTCGGCGCATGTGCAGCCCTTCCTAGAGGGGAATTTGCTCCCAAGACTTCACATGAAAAAATAGACCACAAACAACTGTTAAAACCATTCAGTACCCGTGCATGTTGAGCCTGTGGCTGTGAGCATCCGCCTATTGCACCCCTGCTCACCACCAAATGCCAAGCCTGAACCATCCCCTCTCTTGTCCCCCCCGGCCATCACCCCCATTTCAGTGCAGCCCGGCCCCTCTGCCTGAGAGCCAAAGGGCTTGCACAGAGCCAGGGCCCTGCTCTGGGGGTTTCCCCTCTGATTTAAGGGGTGTTTCTCCTGCCAAGAGGCTGATGGCAATGAAGGGCACAATGGGCCCTGCCATCCCCCATGTGCCCATCACTGCAAAACACAGGCTGAGTTGTGGGCAAAGGGCAGCTTTGGCTGCACCCTGGCAGGACCCCAAACATCGTCAAGGCACAGGAACCAGAACACAAAGCAACCCATCCCAAACCCCAGAGCACCCAGCAGCAGCTTGGGTGCAGGGGGGCGAGCCACCCTGTGTGTTTTCGGGAGCTCCCCAGGCCTTGGGGTGGGGGTGAGGGGCTGCGGTGGGGGCTTTGCCGGTGGGGATGCCGCCCGGTGAGGACCAGCTCAGCCCCACGCTGGGGCCGGGCAATGCTGCGGGGTGGCCACTGTGGGTAGGAGCCAGGCTCCAGGAGGGACCATGGGCTCTGCCAACCATGGAAAACACAAGCTCCCCTTCGCAAGAGGGTTTTGGGGGCAGTGGGAGAGAAAAGCTGGCAGAGGAGGGTGGACTGGAGGAAGGTGCTGATGCACTTTGCAGCAGGCACGAAGGTGGTTCAGAGGTGCTTGAGAGCCCCCACCCTGCACCCAGGTGCTCCCCAGCAAAATCCCCCAGGAGCAGTGTGCCAGGGCACAGCCGGGTCCTGGCTCCTTCCCCATGCACAGAAGCCACTCCACTTAAGTTAAAGCAAAAATAATTGGGTGGAGCCATAACTAGAGTCTTAATTTGCCTGCTCGTTGAATCTGCAAGAAAACCCATGAGGTGGGGGCACAGAAGCAGATCAACTTTCCAAGCCACATGAAGAGTTGAGGGTCACCCTAAAAAACACCCATGCCCGGCCCCCAGCACCATCCGTGCAACCGAGCTGGGGTGCAGCTGCCACGGCTGCACCGGGAGCACCCTCCACGCACCGCAGCAGTGGGTGGGAGAGCCCTGCGTGGGGTGGCTGGGTGACCAGGGGTAGCTGCTCCCTGGGGATGTGATGCCCGTCTCTCTGCCCACTGGCACAGCGCAGCCACCCAGGATGCCACAGCCCCTCAACTCCCTTGGGAAAGGAGTGGGGCAGTAACAGCCCGGTGCCCATGTCTGCAGCCAGGCAGGGCTCCTACCTGGCACTGCTGACTCCAGCCCTCCTGGCATGGATGCTGGGCATCACTAGAGGAGACAGCAGACCCAAACCACAGCCCAACATCTCAAACCAATGGGGTCCAGCTATAGAGAACCCCAAACCCAGGCATAGCTCAGCCCCAGGATGGGTGAGTCCATGGACACCTGTTTGCCTTGGCCACAGGGTCTGCACGAGTCCCAGCTCTGTGCACCAAAAGCCGCTACCCTGCTCCTGCAAAGCCTGAGGCTCTGCGTGGACTCTGAAAAGTCCTCATCCCAGAACACCCCAGCAGCCACTTGTGCCCCCTCCTGTCCCTGGGCTCCTGGGCACCCCTGGGTGCTGGCAGGGCCAGTGGCACAGGCGGTCACCAGCATGGCTGCAGCAGGATGCACAAGGAGCGGGGTCAGGTCCGCATGCTCCCCACTGGCCCCAAAACCGCCACACAACTGCAGCAAGCCAGGGCTTGGGATGAGAGGGAGCAGAGCTGCTGTCCCCACAGGGACATAGCTGCCACAGAGAGGAGAAGTCAGAGGATGGGAAGCCGGGGTGCTGCTGGGGCGGGGGCTACCCTGAGGCATGGGAACCTCCTGGAGCTGCAGAGGTGCAGGGCAGGTTTGCAGGCAGGGGGTCGCAGAAGGGGCTGCTGCAGAGTGAGTGCACCTACCGCTGGGTGAGAGCTGCTTCTGGATGCATCGCCCATGGTCGTCCTCCTGGAAGGGGGGCAGGCAGGGGCCGCAGGCGCCCGATCCTGGCGGGCAGAACTCCCGGCGCTGCAGGGCACAGTCCAGGCTCCGGGGACACGATGCTGCTGTGGGGACAGGAGAAGACAGGTCAGGAGGAGGAGAGGGGTCAAACACTCCCCTGGGTCTGTCCTTAGCATGGGACCCAGCTGTCCCGGTCCCACCTGCAGAGGGCAGGTTCCACGGCAGCTAACGGATGTGGATGGGCTTCACAGGGGCTGCCCCTTGGCCCCACTTTGCCTTTGCAGAGCCATTACTGACTGCAATTAAGCACGGGCTCTAATGACCTGAGAGCTGGCCTCAATGATCCTTATGGGACCCCTCCAACTCGAGATATTCTATGATTTTATGACCTGCACAAGGCTGTTTGCTGCCTGCAGGGAAGAGTGGGCAGTGCCTGTCCTGCACGGGACCCCAAGCCCCAAGATGCCACTGTCCCACGGAACAACCCAAGCCCCAGGATGCCACCATCTCATGGGTTGACCCAAGTCCCAGGGTGCTGCCATCCCACAGGACACCATAAGCCCCAGCGTGTCACCATCCTATGGGATGCCCCAAGCCCCAGCGTACTGCAGGACACCCCAAGTCCCGCAGAGCTGGCAGCGACAAGGCTCTCCAGACCCTGCCTGCACCACGCAGGCAGTGCCCGAGCAGGCTGGCAGCTGAAATCTGACCAACACAAGCTGATACTCGTGTGGTAGCTGTCAAATAAAAAGAAACACCAAACCAACACCCCCCCAAAGCCTCAGCATGGCTAAACAGGTCATCACAGGCAGCAGCAGCTTTGGTTTCCATCCCTTTGACATCGTAACAGGGGAAAATGGAGGGACCCAGCTCTTCCCCAGCAACACACCATGGCCCAAACCTTTCGTGGCTTCACCGGGCATCTCATTTCTATGTCAGACCTAGGAACCTCTCCAGTACCTGGGGACAGGCACGAGACCCCCACGCTCTGACCTCATCTGGACCCAAGACCCTTGTGATGCTGTGACAGCCTGCCATGGCCAGGAGCAGTCCTGCTCCTCCTCCAGCCTGGCTCAAGACAGTGGGACACAAAGTCCGTGGGTCCCACACAAAGCTGAGTTCTGAGACTGGGTGATGGTGACAAACTGTGTGTGGAGATGGAGAGAGGAACCGTGACCAGCCAGGACAGTGACAGACAGGGCCAGCGCACAGGTCTCACCTGGGGGGACACTCTGGTGTCCCGGCTTTCTGCGACAGCAGCAGGAGCTGCTGCCGGGGATGGTGACACTGCTGGCACTGCCAGGACATGAGCACAGATGTCTCTCCCTCAAGAGCTGGTGGCAGTGCAGAGCCAGATACTGCTCACCGCCCCAGTGTCCTGGGCCGGGCACAGCTGGATGAAGGGGGCACAGCTGGATGGGGGGTGCACAGCTGGATGGGGGTGCAGCACATAGCTGGCCTAGCCCTGCTCTTCACCTTGCTGCACGTGGCCATGCCCGCACCTTTCCCGCAGGCAGCAGCAGGCAGGAGAGCCCTGATGCCGACCCTCACTGGGAGCAGGGCCAGGCCTGGCAGCCCCCGGC